GGCAGCAGGATCATTGCCTGTGATGATCATGTCATCAACATAAATGAGTACCACAGTGATAGAGGGACCATTTATACGTGTGAATAATGAGTAGTCAGCCTTTGATTGACAAAAACCAGCTTGTTGTATCGCATGTGTAAATTTGGAGAACCATTAGCGAGAGGCCTGCTTCAAACCATATAGAGATTTCCGAAGGCGACAAACCAAGTTCTCCCCCTGTCGACGCATGCCTTGTGGTGGCACCATATAGACTTCTTCCTCCAAATCACCATGGAGGAAAGCATTCTGCACATCTAATTGGTGGAGAGGCCAGTCACGATGAGCAGCAACAGCCAGTAAGCAACGCACAGTAACTAACTTGGCAACGGGGGCAAATGTCTCATAGTAATCCAAACCTTCAGTTTGTGTATAGCCTTTAGCCACCAACCGTGCTTTGTAGCGCTCGATTGAACCATCAGACTTGTGTTTGATTTTGTATACCCACTTGCTGCCAATGGCCCGCTTACCATGAGGCAAAGGTGTAAGCGTCCAGGTTTGATTGTGTGCAAGGGCCTGCAATTCAACTTTCATGGCTTCACGCCACTTGGGATCAAGATTAGCTTGAGCAAAGGAGGTGGGTTCAACACATGTAGTGATATTGTGGATAAAAGTGCGATGTGATGGTGACAAGTGAGAAGAAGAAAGATATTTAGAAAGAGGGTAACGAGTACCTGACCTGGAAGAAGATGTTGAATTGGGTTTGGGGGTCGTCACCTGTGAGCAATCGTAGTCTCGAAGGCGCACATTGGGTATCTTGGAGCGCATGCCACGGCGAAGTTCTTGTGGTGGAGGTGTCGGTGTAGAAGGGCTGTTAGGTGTAGGTAATGAGGAAGAGTCATGAAGAATGGTAATTGGAGAAGAATTGGATGGTACGGATGAAGACAAAGGCTGGGTATGTGGATCAACAATGGGTTGCTCAAATGAGGGGTTTGATTGGTTGGGCTCAAGTGAATGGGTGTCTTGAGTGATTGGGATGGACGGTAAAACTGGAGCTTGAGGTAGCTCTAGTTTTGTGCCATGGGAAATATCTGAGAATGGGAATATATGTTCATGAAAAACTACATCCCGACTGGAGAAAAACTGATGTGTTTTGAGATCAAATAGGCGATATGCCTTTTGGCCAGAAGGATAACCCACAAAAATGCATCTACGAGCCCTAGCATCAAACTTTTGTGTGTGGGCTGTTTGGGTGGCATAACAAAGGCATCCGAAGACACGCAAATGGGTGTAGGAGGGGAAAATTTTGTAGAGCATTTCATGTGGAGTCTTTCTCGAAAGCACTAAGGTGGGCACGCGATTGATTAAATATGCAGCAGTGAGGACACTCTCCCCCCAAAATTTAAGGGGTAGGCCTGCTTGAAAACGTAATGCACGTGCAATTTGAAGGAGGTGTCTGTGCTTTCGTTCCACAACCCCATTTTGTTGAGGAGTGTGGGGGCAAGAATGTTGCCAGATTGTGCCCAATTGGTTAAAAAATGGACGCATGGACAAAAATTCTGTTCCATTATCACTACGGACTTGCTTGACGGTGCAGTGGAATTGTGTGGAAACATAGGCAAAAAAAACTTTCAATTTTTCTTGTGTCTCAGACTTAAAATTCATGAGAAATATCCAAGTAAAACGCGAATAATCGTCAACAATTGTTAAGAAATATCTGGCACCTGAGTGAGAAGGCAAGTGATGAGGACCCCAAACATCACAATGTATTAAATCAAAAGCTTTATTTGTTGAAATGGAACTGAGTGAAAAAGGTAATCTGGTTTGTTTAGCAAGAGGACATACATCACAATGGGAATTAAAATCAAAAGAAATTGAAGGGATAGTTTGAGATAAAACTCGAGATGGACCACTAGACAAGTGACCCAATCGTTTGTGCCAAAGATTTCTTGTTGAAGAGGGTTGTACAGCATTCGCAATTTTGGGACTATGCTCACGAAGAAGATCTTCGGTGACTGGTACTAAATAGTACAAACCATCACGCTCCTTCCCCAATCCAATCATCTTCCTCGAGGTTAAATCCTGCAGGATACAAAAGGTGGGAAAAAATAAGACCAAACAATTGAGGTCACGAGTGAGTTTGCTAACAGACAACAAATTAACTCGAAATCCGGGGACACAAAGAACATCATGTAATTTTAGGTGAGAGGTGAGATTGATAGAACCAACACAAGTGATTTTTGCTTGTGTTCCATTTGGCATGGTGACTGAGGAATTAAAAGGTGAGGACTTTTCTGGAATTAATTTGGAGGAAAAAGTAATATGATCACTTGCACCGCTATCAATGATCCAATAATCTGGATGATCAGTGGCAAAGGCATAGCACTGAGGTTTAGTCATACCTGCTGCGTTCGCAAATGCTTGATTTTTACCATCACCTCGAAGGATTGCCTTGATTTGGCACACTTCATCAGCTGTAAATTTTAAATCTTCAGGGGTCTTGGCAGCAGATGTCTTGGCTCCCTCCTTGTTGGTATTGTTGGCTGCTGCACGCTTGTTTCTATTTGGTGGCTTGATTGTCTTTCCATGCAACTTGTGCCAGGTTGGAAATCCATGAAGATAATAACACCGATCCATGGTATGAGTGTCACCATCACAGTATGTGCAGTGGAGGTTTTTGTTATCTTCGCCTTGCACTGGGCGAGGCTGCTTATTGGTGTTTCTCGATACATTCATTGCATGAGAAGAATTATTCTCCCCACTTTCAGCTATTTGCCTTTGTTTTTCTTCTTGTACAAGCATCCCATATACCTTACGCTCAGAAGGTAAGGGTGACATTAGTAGGATCTGTGTGCGAACTGCGGAGTAGGTTTCATTCAGGCCCATAAGGAATTGAAGAACTCGCTCTTGTTGTTCTCTGTCAGTGAGTTCCTTTAGGACTCCACAAGCACACATGGGATTACACTTACATGATGGCACGGGAGCATATGATCCCAACTCATCCCAAAGACCTTTCAGTGTGTTGTAATACACGGATATAGACTGCTGATGTTGTCGAAGTTCGGCAATATCTCGTTTAATCTGGAAAATCCTGGAAATATTCCCTTGAGAGAAGCGTTCTTTGAGATCTAGCCAAACCTCAGCAGCTGTATTTGCATAGATGACGGTGTTAGCCAGAGAGGGGCTGATGGAGTTGAGGATCCAAGACTTGATCATCTGGTTACATCTTCTCCAGATGGGGTATTTGGCGCTGGTTGTGGCTGGTGCTTTGATCGTCCCATCCACAAAGCCAAGTTTGTTCTTTGCCTCCAAAGTCATTATCATTGCAAGACTCCAAGTTGCATAATTGTCACCATCCAAGAGTTGAGTGACAAGTGTCAGACCAGTTTGGTCTGAATGATGTATATAAAAGGGATCAGAGACATCGTTGGTCTCTGTGTTTTGAGATTTAGGCTTGTGGCCTGTGTGTTTCGGTGTTTCTTCGTCGCTAGCCATGTTCTAGAGGTTGCGGAAGGTGATGAAGATATAAGAGTCACCGAGATCGGCGCTCTGATACCATGAAAAAATAGAGAGGCTAGGCAACGAGAGTTTGAGGGGAAAACTCTAAATTTTGTTATATCATTCATTCACAAAGTACAAGCTAATATAATGCCTAAGCAAGGCTGTACAAGGTAAGTAGTAAAGCTGCAAATATTCTCGATCCTACAATCAAGGTGATATGATTCTACAATCAAAGGGCTATATAGAGTAAATACAAGATTATTGCCTATCAATCAAGTAATACAATCCGTATATTCTAACAAAAACGAACTAAAAAGGGAAAATAATTAAAAATTGATTGCTGTTTGTTTGCAGCGTTAATATCAATGTTAATTTAGGGAAATCAACTCAATAAAATAATCAACTAATTAAAACTCAAGTCATCAATACAGTAAGGCACTTGAGATACAGACAAAAAATCGTACTTTAAAAACTCAGGTCAGTAATGCAAATAAGGCTGACATATGCATCAAATTTAAATTGTTTTGCACCTTTTCATCTAAATGCATAAACAGAGACTAATATACATAGCAATTAATACAAACTAATTCGTCTTAAGATTGTTGGAAATATGAGTGCTAAATTGCTATAAAATAAACAAAATAAATACTGCACACGAAACAGATTTTTACAAAAGAAGAATTGAATTAAAAGAACCTTAATTAAGTCGAGGCAAGTGTTGGACACTTTAAGCTTAAGACGAATTACGCCCCACACTAGTGCTTATGGTTCACTAGCGTTCGCCTTCTAGGATACAACGACTCTCCTCTTTATGAAAGAAGCACTGCAATTCACAAGGAACTTTGAACCAAATTATGCAAGAACCTCTCTTTATAAAAACTCTAATACTCTCTATCTATGAAAGTCAGTATGTAGAGAATTATTTGAATGAATAAAGTTGCATGAGGATTGCTCTATTTACAGATAATGAAATACCAATTCCAAAAAGGTATCCCAATCTGAAAAGGCAAACAATGCATCCCTTGGTCTAAAGAGTTGTCACCCCAAACAATGCATTCTTGGTTTGAAGAGTTGTCACCCCTCATGTGAAGATGTCTTTAACTCAAGGGTCATGTCTTTAACCTAATGAATTTTATTAATTTCCATTCAAATAGGAAATTAATATTAGTTAATATTAAATTTCCAGCATGCACATCAAGCCGTTGTCACTGTCGAGAGAGAGGAGAGCTGAGCAACATGTATATGGGAGGAAAAAGACATCAAAAAATGGAGGAGTTGGCGGTTTAGATGGGCGGATTGTTCATCACCGTCGAGAGAGAGATAGAAGAGCTGGAGCGTTTCTGTTTCAGAAAAAATTTCAAATGAGATGAGGGATTAGCGATTAGGGTTGAGATTGATAGATAATAGAGTGGGGAAAGAACAACCATAAGCTTTTCTACTTATTTTACTTTCTTTCTTCTTTTTTTCTTTTTTTCTTTTTTGGGTTACAAAGGGATTGAAGGATTTGATTTCGTATTGTGGTTTTAAAGAGAGGGTGATTTTTTATTGCTGGGTTTGGATGTGAGGGGTTGCTAATTGTGGGATATTAATTAGATGAGGCTCAAGTTGCAGCAGTTGGTTGCTTCATCCCTTCCGAACTCATGTTGTGATCATGCGAGGATGGTGGGTCCTTCAATAGAAGGAATGGATCATGAAGATGGGGAAGAGAAACAATTTTTTTCGCGTCAAAGAGATGCTTCATTAAAGCCCCCGAAAGCTGGGAAGGAATAACAATGAAAAAACTCACTTCTAACTGAACTGGGAATTCATTAAAATGATTTCAACTCCATACATGCGGCCGCCAAGTCCATTTCTTTCAATGTCAAAAAACTACGTACTTCCAGCACCATAATAAGGCCACAAGATGAGGATTTAAGCAGGTCAGATCATTCACTCGGAGCTCCGAGATTTTACACTTCTCCTTAAGATCTACCACATAGCATGCATTCTTGCGCTTCATTGGATCCACATACACTCTCCTCTCCACTGTACGTAATGTGAAGATATCCATCTTCATCCTTGTTTTCCTCATAGATTGCGGACATCAAGGCGTCTGTAACCATTGGATCAATGAACTATTACAACCACAACTAAAATGAGTAAAACAAAGATGATCGAGTTGCAACTCACCAATGGGAGGTTTAGTGTTCTTGAAAAACATAAATATAGGCTTTATTACACCGACGACGAACCGTGTGCTGCGCTTGACTCTATACCGAATATAATTAAAAAAATCTCCAAGAGGCATATCATCAGGGATAAGGAATCTGCAGTCAGAAAAAACAGGATAGGCAATACAACTGTGTGAGTGAGAACCCCCTTCATTTAAGACAAGTTATGAACACAAATGAATTTGATGTTTTCCTTTCTGTATGTAAATCTAATATAGCGGCATGCAATAGGAAATTACTTGGTAGGAAGCCTTCGCTACTTAGGTAACCAACTCATCCAAACAATAGGGTTTAGGGTTTAGGGCCATTCCCTAACCACTCCTACAACTTCACCTCATGCAGTGAAACGTCGTTCCCCAAACAATATTTTTATTTATTTATTATTTTGTAAAAGTGCAACTCTGAATGAACGATTCACTTCACATGAGTCACGACAAGATCCTATCTGTGTGCTATAGATTGCATGTACAAACTAAAACGCACAACTAACAATGAAAACATAACAAGTATTGGGGCTTTCAACAATATTCTTTCTTATTCTATCTCCTCGTCCCTTTTTTCGTGTGCCCAATTTCGGAACATATATCAAAAGTATAAATGAAAAGGAAACAATCCTATTCTATTGTAGATATACAAATAAACATAACTAAAGCAAAAGGGAATTCGAAACTAACTTCTTCCAGACCATGTCAGGAATGTCACTCCTTGCATCTTTCTCCAAAATCACCTGCATGAAAGGTCAAATTAAAACATACTGCATAGGAAGTAAACGTAGTTGATGCAGTGAAATTCTTACTGGTATATAATTTGGACGCATCTCCCTCAAATAATCACCATCTAAAGAAGTAAGGAGGCCTTTGTACCTATTCATAGAATCCCTCAACCCATATTAAAAGCATAAATGAAAAAAGTAGCAATCCTATTACATTAAAATCAAGATAAGTAAAGCACAAGTGAATCGGCAACCAACCTTTTCTTTCCAGGGTTCCTCAAAGCCTTTCCACAATCACATGCATGGAGGAGACTCAAATTAGCACATAGAGCATCAATTGAATGCATAGGACATGAGCATATTTGATTCAGTGAATTTCTTACCTTCTCGGCGACACTCCTCCAATTGTCTAAAAGAGAAATGGGCCTTGACCAATTTCTGACCATAAATCAAAAGCACAAAGGAAAAGGAAACAATCACGTTCCATTATTGCAATACCAATCAAGATTTTAAAGCACGAGGAAATTGGAAACTAACATTTTTTCTTCAATGTCAGGACTGTCAAACGTTATGGCATGTGAACGACTAGGAACTAAACATATCTGATTCTGTGAAGTTCTTACTGGTGTTGGATTCGTTTCTGCTTGCGTCATTCCTTACTCCAAAAACATCAGTAGAAAAGAGATGAGACAGATAACTTAGACAAAACCAAATCACCAATTTCCAAAATAAATCACAACACTGCATCTATGAAATTTAAGCTAATCGTTACAGATCTATACAGATCATATAATTAATCCCTACAAAAGAAGGAAAAACTCCGACAAAAAAGAAGGAAATACATACCCTGAGGATATGTGTTCTTGTATGAGCATTCATCCAAGGTGAAACACACGCTGCCACTGTTCTCTGCCAATTTTCAAACAAGGAAACATCAAAACCGCATACGAAATTTTGTTACCGAGAGTAGGTCTATAGTACATGCATTTAAATCCTCTCAATTTGTATCTCTGTTTTGGTCAGCGTGTTCCAACCAACTCTTTACGCGTCCAATTCACACAACTATTCCTTTTTTCTTTTTTTTTCCCTCTCTTGGTTTTTTGTTTTTCTTTTATTACTAACACAAGCAATATTAAGCGGAAGCGAAATAAAATGCCTGACCTCAGCAAAGATACTCGTTTAGCGCACAAATTTCAAATTTTTGGTTGTATTTAATATGGATTTTAAAAGGGGTTCGGGTTATACATACTCGCCTTCCATATCGAGTCTCATGAAACTTTAGACTTTTTTTTCCGTGAATTTTATGGTTATCACTATTCATAAAGCAAATCATAATTGTTCTTTGTTTACAGAAAAGTAAATCTTAAAGTTCCTACCACCAAAATCACACATAATAGCGTACCCAGCATCAAAGGATTTCTGCTTCTGTATGAAATCCAAAGGGTATGACACAATTTAAAGTACAAAGTCTTTTCGTGTAACTTTGATAAATGCGTGTAGTTGAAACCATGCATGCATAAAAGTTTCAATCCAGCAATTAGGTCCCCTACCACACCTACCAATCCAAGCTAGTAATAATACATAGGCATGATTCATGAAAGGCTCATATTTGTATGTTACCCCGTATTCTTTTTCCACTGTACGTAATGTGAAGAAATCCATCTTCATCCTTATTTTCCTCATCGATTGCCGACATCAAGGCACCTGTAACATTGGATCGATGAATTATACAGCCACAAATTTGGGAAAACGGTATTATTATGCCTTAAAACTAAAACGATCTGCAACTCACCAGTGGGAGGTTTAGTGTTCTTGAAACAGACAAATATAGGCTTCTTTCTGCTGACCTTGATATTGTACCGAATAAAATTAACAAATTCTCTAATGGGCATGTCACCACAGACAAGGTATCTGCAGAAAGAAAAAGAGGATACGCAATAAAACTATATGAGAACCCCTTCATTTAAGACAAGCTACCAACATCAATGAAATTCGAATTTTCCATTGCAGTAATAAGTACGTTTTCCTGTCTGTCTGCAAATCCTATAAACTAATATGGAGTATAAGATTACTTGGTTGGAATATTTTTCTACTTAGGAAACCAATTCATGCAAACCATCATAATCAGCACCATTCCTAAACACTCCTAGAACTTCACCAAATGTTCTGAAACGTTTTTCCCCCTACAATAATGCAAGTTTAAAAGAATGATACACACAACTAAATCCTCTTTGTGTGCATATAGATTGCATGTACACATTAAAATGCATACCTCACACAACAAGAACATAACAAGCTATGAACACAAACGAACTTGGTGTTCTCCGTTCTATGTAGTAATAAGCAGGTTTTCCTTTCTGCATGTAATTCTTATGTAGTAATATGGAAAATGAAAATTACTCGGTAGAAAGCCTTCGCTACTTAGTTAATCAATTCATTCAAACCATAACCAAGAATACCATTCCCTTAGCCCTCCTACAACTTCACCTAATGCAGTGAAATATTTTTTCCACACAAAATATATATATATATATATATATATATATATATATATAGAGAGAGAGAGAGAGAGAGAGAGAGAGAGAGAGAATTCTGACCTGCACATTGGCTCCGGTGACCATGTTGGGCTTATCATAAGGCTTGCCCTCTGCTTTTCTCTTTTGCCAAAAGGAGAGTGGGAAAATCAGTACCCCATGTATTTACGTACATATACATATAGAGTGGAAAAGTGCAACTATGGATGAACCCTACACATGAGTCGTGACTAGATCCAGTCCGCGTACTATAGATTGCACGTACACATTAAAATGAAAACTCACAATAAAAACATAAAAAGTAGTGGGCACTTTCCACAATTTAGTTTCTTTTCTTGACCAATTTCATAACGTGTATCAAAAGAATAAATGCAAAGGGAACAATCCTATAAATACGAATCAAGATAATTAAAGCACAAAGGAATTTTTGAAACAAACTTCTTCGTGTTCATGACAGGAAGGTAACTCCTTGCATCCTTCTCCAACATCACCTGCATGAAAGCTCAAATTAGAACAGACTATATCCACTGAATGCATAGGACGTCAAAATTGTTGATGCGCTGAAATTCTCACTGGTATAAGATCTGGGCGTGTCTCCCTCAAATACACAGGATCTAAACAAGGTGGATCTAAACAAGGTCGGCAGACTTTGTCGCCCTTTGGTTGAATCCTTAACATATATCAAAAGGATAAATGAAGAAAATAAGAATCCTATTCCATTAAAATCAAGATAAGTAAAGCACAAGTGACGCGGCAACTAACCTCGCAAGCCAGCTACAAGTCACAACCTGGCTAGGAATCTTGGTCTTCGAAACCTTATCCACAAATCACATGCATGGAGCCTCAAATTAGAACAGAGTGCATCCACCGAATGTATAGGATGTAAACATATTTAATTCAGTGAAATTCTTACCAATTTGTAATCAGAACGTTCTAAACGAATAACGGGCCATGGCCAATCAACGGGCCCCTAATTTTTCCTTCCTTTTCTTGACGAATTTCTGAGCACATATCAAAAGCATAAGTGAAAAGGAAACAATCCTGTTACAATGTAGCAATACAAATCAAGATTTTAAAAAACAAGGAAATTG